TTTAATTTATAAATAAAAAAATAATTGACTTTAAAAGAAGTTTATAACATAAACTTTTTGATTTTTTCTTTATAATAAAACTACATCTTCTTTCCTGTTTCATTGAACATTTAAAAAAGGAAGAATTATAAAGAAACAATGAAAAGAAACTATAGAATAAAATAATATAAAGTATTGTAAAATAATTTTGAAAAATGTAAAAATTATAAGAAGAAAAAAAAAATAAAAAGATCACTCAAGAACTTAAAATAACATGTTATTACTTTTTGTAGTTATTCTTTCTGTTGCTTATGGTAAATTAACGGACTTTAACCTTCCAGAAAAAGAAGGAAAAACTCAAATGTTTCAAATTCATTATAATGAAATTACAACAATGAGATATAATCTCTTTTTGTATTATAAAAATAGTGGTCTTAGTTATAGTTTGTTTTTATAATAAAATAAAAGTAATAATAAACTAATGAATTTTAGATAGTACATTAAAACAATATAGAATGGATACTTATCTTGGAGATAAAGTAAATAGTTCTACTATTTTCACTTTTAAAGATGAAAAGAATTTTAGACCACAAGCATTTTGTAATAGAGATATAATTATGGTATTAAATGAAGGAACATTTAATTCAATAGAACCTCAAATGGGATCAATTTATAAAATAACTCCAAATTTTTCTGATGTTAATAGTCCTATGGCATTTCAAAAAAGAGATTATCCAGAAGTTAATGATAAAGAATTTATTCTTGTTTGTAAAGACAATTATCTTGGTGTATATAGTGGAAGTGCATTTGGAGAAAAAGCACAAGAAAATAAAACTGAATGTGGAGAATATATTACTGCAGGTGATAAATATGTTTTTGTAAAAAAAGGAAAGTCAGTTAGTTTAATTGAATTAGACCAATATGGTAGAGCAGGAAAAATAAAAGATATTAAATTTTCTACTAATTTAACACGATCAGAGACATTTGAATATGATCCAATTATAGCTAATCAACATAATACTTTATATGTTCAAGTATCTGATCAAAACTTAATGGTTGTTTTTGATAAAAATACTGATTATGAAAAAGAAACAACTATTAGTTTACCTTTTTATGGATTAAATAAAACTACTATTTATAATCCAAGAAATGCTAATAATTTGGCAGTTTATGGAAGTATGATTATTATTGGTGTTTGGACAAGTGGAAATGGAAAAGGATCAGCTTATGTTTATTTTGATAATCTACTTTCAGGGTATTCTCCAAGATTTGAACTTCTTGAGTCTTACGAAGGTAAAGCAGTTGGTGATTTTGTTGGATTTTCAGTTGGACTAAATCATAAAAGATTTTATGTTGGTGGTGTTATTTCTTTTAATTCACAAACAAATGAACCAGATTGGTTTGAAGTAATAAAAAATTCAAAAAAAATAATAGATTCCTGTGATGATAGAACATGTGAATGTATTCATGATTATTATTATGACTCAAAAAATAAAGTTTGTGTAAAAAAATTCTTTAAATCTAAAGCAGGAATTATTCTTGGATGTGTTATTGGTGTTGTGTTATTACTTATTATTATTGCTATTATCATTGTATTTTGTATTTGGTTCTTTAAAAAACCAGTTGAAGATAAACCACAAACATATAGATTAGATGGAAGTGAAGTTGATTTTACATTTAATGAAAACTTCCCATTTAAATTTGGAAGTGAAGAATTACGTTTTGGTTCAGAAAAAGCACCAGTTGAAATTAATAAACCACTTCAAGAGAAGATAGTTATTACTAATCCTTCAAAGAAATCATTAAAATATAAAGTTGAAGCACCAGAAACACATCGAATGAAAATAACAGTTTATCATGGGGAAGGTGAATTAGAAAAAGGATTTGGAGTTACATTAACAATTGAAGTTATTATGTTATGTACATGTAGAACTGATGAATATTTAACAGTTTCTGCTATTGACTCCAAAGGTGAAACATTATATGCACGTATTCCAATTAATATAGAGAGTGTTGTTTCTCCCTATATTGATTACACTGAAGTACAATGTGATATATTAATTGGAGAAGGAGCATTTGGTGGAGTATTTAAAGGAGTTTATAGAGGACAAACTGTTGCAATTAAAGAAAGTAAAACTACATTAACCGAAAAAGATAAAGAGCAATTTGAACAAGAGGTTAATACTTATTCAACAATAAGAAACGAGTATATTGTTCAATTTATTGGATCATCTAATGTACCAGGTCATACAATGATGGTTATGGAATATGCACCATTTGGAAGTGTTAAAAAGGCATACTTAAAAGATGAATTTACACAATTACTTGCAATTAAAGTACTTAGTGATTGTGCTAAAGGAATGAGATTTTTGCATGCAAATAGTATTATTCATAGAGATTTAAAACCAGACAATCTATTACTTTTCTCCTTCTCACCAAAAGTTCAGTTTGCTGCTAAAATATCTGATTTTGGAACTTCAAAAAATATTTTATCTATCAAACAAAGTGCTTCAATGACAAAAGCAGTTGGTACTCCTGCTTATATGGCACCTGAAATGATTAGTGGAAGTGATTATGGTACTCCAGTAGATGTTTTTTCATTTGCTGTCGTTGCATTTGAATTACTTAGTAAGTCAATGCCATATTCTAACCAAGACTTATTCCAACACAATTGGGATATTGCTGATTTTATAAATTCAGGTAAACGACTTGCAATTCCAAGTTCTGTACCAAAAGAAATGGCTGACCTTATTACTAATTGTTGGAATCAAGATCCAAGTGCTCGTTGGACTTTCCAACAAATTGATGAATTTTTAGATGAATATTTCAAAGAACAACTTGCTCGTAGAAAGAGTGTAAAGGGTGTGTCATTGAATCTTGAAGATAATATTAGTCAACAGCAATCTATTAATACAGAAGATGGAATTTTGAAAGACACCGTGGAAGAAAATCCATTGACCTCAACAAACATTGTTTCATTACTCGACCAAGATATCTTTTAATTAATTTTGTTGAACAACAGCTTTTTTTCTTTTCAGATAAAACTAATTATTATTAAATAAAAATTAAGAACGTTCAATTGGATGAAGATTTAAAAATTACTACTTCATTTTTTTAATAAGACTCTTTTAAAGTCATCTGTTGAAGTATAGAATGAAATGTTTCATAACGATAACGATACAATAAAAAAACAGGGATTACTTAATATTTGTTTAATACTACTTAAAAGTATTAATTTGTACCAAAAGCATTTGAAAAGATAGTTCTTCGTATATTTGATATTTTTTATATTCTTCCAATTATTAAGTCTAAATAATATATAACTTAAAGAATTTTAATTAAGAAAGCTCAATTCAATTTAAAAATCATTAGTTATATCTAAAGGTTGAAGAAAAATTAAATTACAAGAATCTATTCAACTAATAAATTGAGAAGTACCACTTTATTCAAAATATGAAAAATATAAGAAAATAAATAGTTTTTTTGATTCAATACTGAGAGGTGTTTTATTATGTTTAATAAGAATTAATTTGAAAGGAAAGAAATTTGAAATGTTATTTCCAAGAATCGTTATGGGGAAAAAGAAGTTATAGAAAGATGATAATAATTTTCCTTTTTTTCTTTTTATTTGTGTGAAAAATTGATAGGATAGCACAATTTCCTATTATTTTTTTTTTGATTATGTTTTTTTATAAGAAGATGTAATAGTGAGGTCATTATTTAAAACAAGACAAAATGGAGATGTACTATTGTTCATAAGAAGGATGTGGTATTAAGACACGTCAGCAACATTTTTACTAATAGTAAAAATTATTAACAAATACTTTATGGTTATAATAATTTAAAATACTACATTTAGGAGCAATTAAATGAGTCATAAAAATAGAAAGGATAAATTTCATGTTCTTTTTCATTTTATGTTAAAAGTAATTTTTGAATTTAAAGAAGATGCTGACGTGTCGATAACAATTCACACGTCACAGGAGATAAAAATAAAAGATATAGATGAAAGGAATCAAGATAGTTAGAGAAGTACTAAAATAGAAAGAACACATCATTAGGAGGTGGTGAAGATTAATGAATTAATAAGCAATAAAAAAGATATTTAAAGGATGAAACTGTGAACTAAAAAACATATACAATAAATACATGGGAAAAGATTATTATGAGATATTAGGAGTTGATAGAAATGTTAATGAAAATGATTTGAAAAAAGCTTATCGTAAGCTTGCATTAAAATGGCATCCAGATAGAAATCCAAATAATAAAGAAGAAGCAAGTGAAAAATTTAAAGAGATTGCAGAAGCTTATTCAGTATTATCTGATCCTAAAAAGAAAGAAATTTATGATCGTTATGGTGAAGATGGTTTAAAGAGTGGAATGGGAGCTAAAGGATTTGCTGGAGAAGGAGGATTTCCAGGAGGAACATATACATTTACTAGTAATGGTGATTTTAATCCATTTGATTTATTCAATGAAATGTTTGGTGGAATGGGTGGAGTTCCAAAAGGAGGAAGAGGTAAAAGAAGTTTCAATATGGGAGGAATGCCAAGAGACTTTGGAGGATTTAGTGGATTTGGAATGCCACAAGGAGGAAGATATACATTTAATACAGGGGATGATTCATCTATGGATGAAGGTTTTGGTAAACAGAAAGGTGAAGATGTAATTTCAAATGTCAATTGTACTTTAGAAGAATTATATTCTGGATGTAAGAAAACTCGTAGAATTACAAAAAATATTACTCATTCAAATGGTTCAACAACTCAAGAATCAAATAATGTTGAATTGAATATTTTACCAGGATGGAAAGATGGAACAAAAATCAGATTTGAAGGATATGGAGATGAATCACCAAATGTTGAAGCTGGAGATATTGTTTTTGTAGTTAAAACAATACCACATCCATTATTTACAAGAGATGGAGATAATTTACATTGTACAATAACAATTAATTTACTTCAGTCTTTAACTGGATTTAAATTAACTATACCATTCTTAGATGGTTCAGAAGTAAGTAAGAAAATAGAAAATATTATTACTTCTGATTATGTTGAAGTAATTAAAGGAAAAGGTATGCCAATAAGAAAATCACCTGGAAATTATGGAGATTTATATATTCATTTCAAGATTCAAAATCCTACATATTTATCACAACAACAAAAAGATGATTTGAAGAAAGTTTTGAAAACAGTACATAACTGGGCTTAAATAAATTTTTATTTGTTATTTTGTTTGTAAATTTAAAATTAAAATAATAAAAAAACATAAAATACAACATTTAATGAATGTTCCAATATTATGTCTCTTACATCCTCCATAAAAGAACAATAATTAATAAACTTTTCAATGTCTATCATTTCATCATCTATTCCTCCATAATATTTCTTACAAACATATACATTTTCTAATTTTTTCCATGCAGAAGGATTATCGTCAATACAAATTATTCGTTTAGCATTATAATTAATATTATGAATAGTTTTATAAATAAATCCTTCTTCTTCAAGACAATCTTCTCTATAAAGAATTTTAGAAAATAATTTACAATTTTTTTCTAAATGACTGACAACTTGATCAGCATATTCTTTTTTTGATGCAGTATAAATCATAATTCTAAATTGTTTTGAAAGTCTTTCCAATGTTTCAACAACTCCTTTTCTTACTTCACAAAAATACTTTATTTCATTAACTCTAATTGTAAATATATCTGATGAATTAATACATACATTATTAGTATTTATGTGGGTATGGATAAGAGTATCATCTAAGTCAAACACAACCAATAATGGACATTCTTTTTGAATACTTTGAAATAACACAGACCCTTTTTGTTGATTTATTGAAATAATATTGTTGTAGTTTATTTTATTCATTAAAATAAAATATAAATATTATATAGA